TTTGGACCTGTGTAATTAGATGGGTCTGGGGTATATGAGACACTATTTCTGTTCTTTTTGGGTTGATGTCTCTATGCTGGCTCATTTTGAGTTTCTAGTATAGAGCTCCCATATGCAGGTGTTCTCAGCGGTCGCACGGTGCATTGGCTAGTATGAGATTGTTCATTTTTTGGGAGATTGAGATAGAGATGTGGCAGTGTCATGCCAACTCATGTGCGAGTGGGAGATGTTAGTAATGGGCGCCCATGTGGCATGACCATTTGAATTTAAATTTGAATCTTATCCAAATAGGTTTTGAAATTGAATTCAAACCTATTTAGGATAACCACTCAGGATACAGATATTATCTCCATTAACTAATATGGATAGATAATAATAACACAATATATATCTGATATATGGGTTATGGGTGATTTAGAGAGAAACAACGTATGATCTGTTTTTTACCCATATACTGACTCTCTTCCAAAGAACAACGATCAAGTCATTTGCACTGTGATTTGTGTGGGTGATATTCATTCTGTAATATCACTTCACTGCTGGGTTGGTTTATCAGACTCTGGAAGCACGTGGTTTATCCACGAGGTTCTATCATCAAAAAGGTATGATCCAAACGTTTTATCCGCTGCATGTTTTATACTTTGATTTACAAAAATCAAACAAATAAATAAATAACGTACCGAATTTATTTATCGAACCGAATTAAAAATAAAAGACCAAGTCGAGTGTGTAAGACTTTGTTTTTAAGTCAGATTTGCCCCGCTACGGTACTTACGGTTATGTGGCGTCTATCTCCCAAGATATAATGATCTTCACAAATTTGTACTAGCATTCCAAACAAATTTGTCCGGCGAACTTGAACCTTGTGTTCAATACTCTTTTTAGTTTTCTCTAAAACTAGAATGAAGAATAAAATACAAAGGAGAAAATTATGGACAGCAAAATGGAATAATTTCATACTGTTTTGGGATGTCAAAACACTGCCAGGATGATCTGTATTTATAGGCAAAATACACAGCCCAGTGTTGTTTGTCACTGAACAGGTGCAATCATGTGTCAACAGATATTGTTTTGAAATTCGAACAGATTTAGCAGTTTTATTGTCTGTTTGGCAGTTTTAAAACTGTTTAAAACTGCTGAATAGTTATCCAATCTGTCTAGAACAAATTGAACTTGTTGAACTATGTTTTGAATCTGTTCAAATCTGCCTAGCAGATTTAAATCTGTTTGAAATAACAGAATCTGTCCAAAATTTGCAGAAAACTGTTTTGGACAATTTTGAATCTGTCCGACAGTTTAAACTTGTTTAACAGTTTGGAAAAAAATGGAACACAGAGGCACAATTATTAGACAATAAATTTGAATTTGAAATAATTTCCTGCAATAATTTTTGAAATAAATTCAAAAGAATTTTGTTCAAAAAATTAATATTAGAACCGACCTACAACCCACACCCGCGCCCGGCACGGGTTGGCCGGTCGAACGGTGATGGCGGCGCGCGTGTGTGGTGGTTTGGGCTAAGGTTCACTTTGTCCATAACTCCTCCCTTCTACAAACTTGGGTTGCCCTTTGGGGCCCAACCCAAGTGTTGTAGTCTAGAGCTTATATACATAAACAAGCTCTCTTAAAGTTTCAATGTGGGACAACCCATTTAAAGAAACGCACATTTACTTCTTTAAATGTCCATTCCACGAACGCGAAAACGACGTCAAGTTCTCATTCACTTAAAAATGGTTTTGACGAACTGTCTTCATCGTGTGACTTACCACGCGGCAAGGAACATGTCACCTCTTCGGACCCGCCCCAAAAGACGTTTGGGGCCCACTCAATTTTGGGCTCAAAGATGGCCCAAAATAAAATAAGCCTAATAATAAAACTAATTTTCCAACATAATCTTGATTATTATAAAAATATTATTACCAAGAATCCAGGAATGGAATCAGGATGTTATTACCGGAGAAGCCAAAAGAAAAATAAAAATTTTCATCATATACATAAGTACACAAGTATGTATAATATGATATATAAATTATATCTATACACAAAAAAAAATAAAAAAATATCATAGAAGCAATTTCTGATAGGACGACAAAGTTTCTTTTGATGTAAAATAAGAAGATAATGCAAAATGGAATAAGAATAAAACATGTATTTTTTATAGGGAATGGCTTCTTGGAATTGGCTTTAATCGAGATTGCCTCGGCTTCTTAGGTACATGAGGAACTGGCCTAACATATTTTCAATCGAAATACCAATCAAAGACAAGTTCTACCAAGGCCAGGATCTGAAAGAGAAGATTCACTTTCCGGAATTCCAAGTGACATGATTCCTTCAGAAGCAAAAGTTGAATGATCGAAGTCTCCTTCAGGTTTAGTTGAAGAGATCGAAGCGAAGTCATCAATTCAACCATTCGCATGGTCTCCCCTAAGACTGACCTCTTTTCCAAATGAACCGAACCTCGATACCACATTCACCAAAGAGATACGGCCATCTCTCTAGGTTGCACACCCCTTTTAGATCGTTCTATTCGTGCTTGAAAAACGACCCCATCGGTTCGCTATTTTTAATGGACATTCTTAGCCGTCCTCCAAGGGTTAAGACTCCATAGATCGGACTGGACTGTGCTGTTGGACTCATGGGGGCCCATCACGGGTCCCGTTTTGATAATCTGAACCGTGCAATGTGTAGAACTCGTCGAGTACTATATGTCTATAAAAAATCACGTTGATCGAATATCGATAGCTATGTGATCAAAACAGTTTTTTGTCAACTGTTAATTTGTTCACCGTCCAATTTTTTTCATACGAAACTGATTTGATCATATAGCTATCGATATCCAATCAACGTGATTTTTTACAAGCATATAGTACTCGGCGAGTTCTACACATTTGACAGTTCAGATTATCAAAACTGAACCCGTGGTGGACCCCTACAGGCCCAACAGCACGGTCCCGGACTGGACAGAAGCCATACCCTTTTTTATATTGAGGGCCATTTATATATAAAATGAGATATATATTTTTAAGATGTCACAACAAATCATATTTTTTACAGAAGCAAAGAGGTCATGGTCCTCATAATCTTCTCTTAGTTCCGTCCCTGCAAGAATCCCTATCCACTTTGAAGTGCTTGTAGCATTTTTTATGAGAAAAATATGTGCTCAAAATCTATAATGTAAGGTTTCGTTTGGCTATATGAGTTGAATTGGGTTGGATTAGATTGAGACTGAATTAGTTATTAAAAGATAAAATAAGTTACAAATTAATAAAATAAAATATCACATTCAAATCATAATTATTATATTATACTTTTTCTCTTATGAAAATTAAAAAAATTTATTCAAATAAACTTTTTAATTTTAAATTAAAAAAAATTCAATTCCAAAGAGCCAACTATTTTTTTTTTTTTTTTTTTTTCCACTTCCCAAACGGAGGCTTAACATGTAACGACTACTGACTTGCTTGGCATCAACGTGTGACGATGACTTTAGCAGATGCATGAGTTATAGCGAAAATATACAATACTCGACAAAGACAAAAAGAGAAAAGTGGAATACCATTGTCTGTCTCATATGCTGTCCTCTTCTTCACGCGGAGACCAAAGCAAAATTAATTTGTAAACTCAAGGGTAGACGCGGAGACCAAAGCAAAATTAATTTGTAAACTCAAGGGTAGGTGGCATTATGGTTAAGACTCAGGCTTTAAGTTTCAAAGTTATAAGTTTAATTTCTTGTTTTTTGGGCTAATCTCCAAAACGAAATTGGTTAGGAGGTTGGATCTCAAATTGTCTAATCAGTACTTGGTGTGGGTTCAATGCTCTCCGCTGTGTGAGTCCTAACTTAAGCAGAGCTTGTCTTGGGAGGTCGGGACAAGTTCTCAGGTCACAGTCTCCTCGCTCGGAACGGCTAACAGGACACCATAGTAATCTCTGCAAGGGACACTGCCTTGGACGGTAGGGAGGATTTTCCTATAACAAAAAAAAAATAATAATAATAATAATTTGTAAATAAAAAATTCACATAATTTTTTTTAATAAAATAGTATAATAGTAGCATTTTAAAAATTATAAATTACTTTAATAAGTCTTTTAATTTGAAATAAATCAACACATACATACCATCACTTTATTTATGTATAAATTTGGCTGCTTTTTGTTCTATGTTTTCTTTTTCTTTTTTTATTTCTCAAAACAATAAAAAACTTAATTTAACAAACATTTTTTTTCTCTTTCTTTAAATCCAGAAAAGAAAACCTTTCAAAAACTATTTTTGCTCAAAAATAATAACAATTGAGTGTTTCTAAACTTTTCCCTATTTTTGTGTTTTATTTTTGCTTTTGAAAACAAGGAAAACAAAAAATGAAGTGAACAAAAACACAAACAAAAGATTGGCCCAAATCACTGCCATCCAGTTTGATAGTATAGATCACTGGCCCTAACAAACCATTTGTTTAACTTGTGACTTCCAAGTTTTCTCCAAGGCCATCCAACCCCAAGGCACTGTCCAAAAAAATCTTAGCTTTCATACCAAAATCAGCAAGTAACAGAAAAATAACGGAAGTTTTTGCACAGAACATGGACCAAGCTTTTTCTAAACCTTGCTCTATTCGGCCTTGGCCTTTCTTAAGCAATCTATCGTGAAAATGGTGCACTACAAACAAGTTACTAGGTCAGAAACCATGACCAAACATAGCTTCTCATGATGAAATGGAGAGTCCATAACAGATTCTCAAGCTACAGGGCAATGTATCAAAATTTATAACCAAAACTTTATATACTGAAGAAATTAATCCATGATCCGAGCAACATCCATCAGATAATAGTAGTTGTCAGTCGGGTGTTGATGGGTTCTATGAATTGTCTTCATTCTTCCCGCAACGTCTGCAACTGAAACTTGTTCTGACTAACCTCCATTTTCTTCGCTTTATCCACTTCTGCTACCATGAGAATAATAAACTGACTCTCCTTTTTTGGACACACTGTTCCGTTAATCTGTGGAATCTCATTGCGTGAGCAGCTTTGAGTCACATGCCACGATCTTAACCTGACCAACAGTTTCCTGGCTTTCCTCAGTCTTGAATGATGCACCTTGTAGGATGAACGTCCAAACATTGTCACAGAATCTGTAGGTGTGCAGATGCCCCTATAGTAAATAATAGAAAAGTTTCAAAAAAATTTTAAAAAAAATAAAATCAGCACCAGTGTAGGGTTAACATCAATGTGAACCTAATGAAAAACAAAAAGGGTATGTAACAAGTGAAATAATAACAGATATTGAGTGAATTGCAAGCAAGGAAGGATTACAAACAAAGAAACATGACTGTCGCTGAAAGTGAGGTTCAGAGATGACAGTTTAAACAAATTGATGCAGACACCAAGCCACAAGAAGCAAGAGTCCCGCCGTGTTTGCTAAGTCATTCAAAAAGCCTAGTCCATGCCTCTTGGCCAAGGAAAGGGGCACATGGTATTGCCTAGACTCTTAACTTGCACGAGGTGTGTTAAGAAGATATTAAGATAACTTGCTGCACCTCTAAGCTTGATGAGTTGTTGACACCAACTCATCTTAAAGCATAAAGTATTAAAAAATGAGCCCAACAGTGTGTGAGGCAAACAAACTGAGTGAGCAAGCACGAAGACAAGTAGCACAGAGTGCACAATAATAGGGGAGACAAGACTTGAACCCAAGACCTTTTGGAACTAGAACTTTGATGCCATGTAAGATTGCCACTAGCCATACAAACTTCAGCTTTTGGAAAATTTGGTGTTCTGTCATGGTATTATAGCTATGGTTCCAAGAGGTCTTGGATTCAAATCTCGTTTCCTTCATTATCTGTGTTATTATGCACTCAATTTGTCCTCTCTAAGTGTGCACTCAATTTGTTCTCTTCTCTCCAAATGCGTGATAAGGTCGCACAAGAGTGTCAATTTCATATACAATGTTGAACCCATTTCCTAATAGCTTAAGCTTTAATAAAAAAAAAGTATTACGACTGTCAAAAAGTATGTAACATGTCCATCATCTATGGGAATAACTTCCACACATGCTAAGCTTTGGACCAAATTGGCTTAGCAATTACATTATATTGTGGTTAAATCCTGTTATTACCGAAGAAAATGATTTAGATTGGTATAGGCTGCTGCTCCAATCCCAAGCATGGTGTTGACATATAATAGAAAAAGAAGAGTCTTATCTAATTTATGTAATTTGGACAAGGAAATAGCAGTGCTGTAAGAGTCTCTCAACTATTGGGCGCATGTCCAATTCAAAGGGATTGGGGATTCCCTCATTTGAATTCTGTTGTTAACTTTATTTGGTCCTCTAGAACTTATCCATAATTATATATGCTTTGCAGAGCAAGAATAGGGTACTAGGCATTACTTTTATGGAAATGATTAAATGAATGTCCATAGAGAAAGCATCTTCAAGATTACAAGTGACATTGTGTACCCATGTTTTACTTGCACTGAAGCCTTCTTTCACTGGTTGAAGTTGAACAGCTCTTTTGGTCTGCTGATTTGAGGTTTCCAAATATGTATGAAGTCTAGATTAATTACAATATATAAGTTTGGTGCATTATTTTGAAATTTTGATGTGCAACAACCCTGTTAACGAATACAACTCAACACAAATTTCATTCGAATTTTTCCCCAAAAACTTCACTTCCTAACGCAATTGGAAAACTTCAAGCAATATGTGGCAAATTATTCAAGACCAACTGGTACAAAAACATAGGCAAAGCTTATTGATAACCTGTACCTTAATGGTCACCTTGCTCTTAACTTGGGCTTCCAGAGCTTCAGTCATTGACTGAAATTCACAAAACAATGAAAAAAATATAACAAAACCATATAAATATTTGTGCGTAATATATAGATCTCACTGTAATGATATTAAACGAGGTCTAAGTTAAATTAACCTTGTCAAACTGAACAAGGACTTGGATAGCAAGTTCAGGACTCATAATCCCATTCGAAACCATCTCATCCAATGTTTCGGTCAAGCACATGCCAATGGTGGACCTACGATAGAGTTCAAATGTTGCCATCCTTCTTTGTGTCAATATCTGTCAAAGTCAAAAGTTTAGAACCCTGATTATCACAAAACAAAACCAAGTCTTATGTTATTTGGTTGATTTTTTTTTTTGTAACCAATATGAAACCCATCAATTTAATTAAATATTTGCAACTGTTGACAATATCTAATGCGGATGAAGTCCACAGTTATATGCATACAAATGCTTGACTCAATATTTAAAGCGGGAAAACAATATGCGTATAAAGTGGCATACATATATCTATGAATTTTTTTGTTTTCCTAGTAAAGAAACTGAGTATACTTCTCAACTCCTTGCTTTGCATAGTGAAATAAAGTAATGCAGGCCAGACAAACAGAGAAAACTGTCCATTTAATTGATCACTATAAAAACAAAAGAAGAGAATAAAAAAACAAAAAAAAACTCAACCATCCTATCATTTTTTGTGGTTAAGAAGATTTCATCTCATTCTCAAACTAAAAACATGTAGACACATTTGATTGTAATCAAGATATATTTTTGCATGCCCACATTCATAGTGGGTTTCAATCCCCACCAACTACACCCCTCCCCCTTGAGTAATGTTCTTCTCATGACCATAAAAAAATGAAATTTATTGCTTCCAATCCCAAATTAGGATGAATTCACTTACATTACAAAAAGTTCACGACCAAAATAACATAAGACTTGGTTTCAAATTTCATTTTCAAACATCTGTCAGCAGCCAAACATACTACATAACAAAATAATAAAAAACAAAAACCTAGGAGAGCTCATTACCTACCCCTTAGCAGAAAATCCCTGCCAACAATACTCTCCAACACTACGGCTTCTCAGAACTCTACAAAATCACGTCATAAAACACAATTCACAAATCAAACCTAATCAAAAACAAACAAGATAAAAGAAGAAACATAGAAACCCATGTACATGTTGCACAATCTATACACATGCATATATACATTATCCATGCTGAATTATTAACCACCAACTCTTCTACCTTAAGCTACTAGAGGGATAGTCAATTTTTTATGGGAAAATTGCAATTCAGTGCATGTTTTCAAAAAAAATTCAAATCAATGGAAAACTCTACCAACTTTAATATTTAAAGTTATAAACTTTTCCATGAATTTGTAAATATTTTGTGAAAGCACGATTTATAATTTTCTCAATTTTGATCATTTTTATACTCAACACGCTCCAGTTATCAGATTCTCTTACTGTGAGATTTTAACACAGTATTACAATTATTTTGTGGATTTTCAAATTTGAACACAAAATCTATTGTCCCCTATGATAATTTTTAACCACTAACTAACTCATATAAAAACTTAAAAGCTATCTATAAAAGGGAGAGGCTAACTTTATTATTTATATACTCGACACATACATATATAGAGAAAGAATGTCTCTTCAAAAACGAATTAATGGGGATATCATTGCCAGAATGTTATGAAATTGTAAACTATGCTCTTTTTGAGGTCGATAAATCTAATGAAAAGGTTCAATACAGGGAATTTGGATGTAGGGCTTGAAATCTCACCTGATTCTTGGGAAAATGGAAAATCGATTGGAATGGCCCTGAATTTAGGAAGAAAACAGAGAGAAATCAAATGAGAGAGAGAGAGCCAGTTACCTGAGGGCTGATGGTCTGAGAAGAGCGAGGGTAGAGAGAGAGAGAGAGAGAGTGGTACAGAAACCCCGACGTAGATCGGCGATGTTGGGAGTGTATTTTGGTGGGATTGCAAGAGAGGTACAGTGTTTATATACATCGCGTAAAAAATAATCTGAAAAATATCCTGGTGAGCTTCGGTGGGTCCAACTTTTGACCTATCACCCTATTATTTAGGGGGGACGGGTACAGTCACTGCTGCCTGTGGGAGGTATTTTAAAGTGCTTTTGGGTAATTTGAACATTTCTTAGGCCTCGTTTGGCAAGAGATTATTTTAGTCAATTAGTCAAAAAGTTACTCCCTCCGTCCCAAAATAATGGTCCCTTTTGGGGAATCCAACTTTTTTTGGTAGTACAATTATTGCATTTGAAAAAAGTTAATTTTCCAAAATTATCCTTTTGATAGTACATTTTTTGGGAAAATCAATGCATAATTGTACTTTTTATGTTGTTTATTAATTTAAAAGAAGGGTAAAATAGGAAATTTATATTATTTTTGTACTTGATTTTTGAAGAGGGACTAATATTTTGGGACAATGAAAAATGGAATAAGGGACTAATATTTTGGGACGGAGGGAGTACTAAATTAGCTAAAAAGTCAACAACTCATACCAATAAGTCAAAGGCTCCGTTTGACTTTAAGTATATTTCGTTAATTTAAGTAGTTGTTATTATAGAATTCGTCAAGAATATTATTCATCTAAAAAATAAAATTAATTAAATATTTGTAATTTTATGATTAGATTTTAATTATTTTTAAAAATTTATAAAAGTTATATTAATTGTTAATTTTTAGAGAAATAATTGTGTTTTGGTTATAGGGTTACAGCTATACAATCAATTTTATTTTTTATATGGATGATCTACTTAACGAACCTTACAATATAAACGATTCAAATTATCAAAAAACATTCGAGACAATCTCTCACAAGAAGCACAACAATAACTGTTGTGCCTCAAGGCACAGCAAAACTCCCTTCTCCTTATTTAGGGTTGGTCTGGGAACAATTTTTTTATCCAAATTTTTTAGTTTTTTTACAGATTTTTTTGATTTTATTTTTGTCTTTTTTTTTTGAAAAAAAATGAAATAATTATAGATTGAATGTGATATTTTATCTTATGAATTTATTTAGTTTATTTTTTTTTATTTTTTTGTGTTTTTTTAATTTCAGTCCAAACTCAACCCACTTGCTAAATGGTAGCTTAGAGTAAGAGTTTTTAAGACACAATAAATAAACTATTTATTAATTTATTTTTATCACATCATCTTTATTTTATTTACATGTTTTATTTTTATTTTTATGATAAGTAAAAAAGTCAACTTACAAGTCATACCCAAAACAATTTTAAATTACAAATACAACTATTATGTTTGCTTAAAATATAAATTGTTCTTTATAGTTTTAGAAATTATATTATATTTTTGAAGTTTCTAATTTCATAACAAATGAAATTTTGTATTAATAAATTATCAATTCAATTAATAGTTTTTAATAATGTCATAGAATTATTTTAATTAATAATTTAAATAATTTTATCTTTGTGTATAAAAGAATAGTTAAGAATTTCATTTTTTTTAATTTAATTTTGTTAAATAAAAAGAATTCAAACAGAGATATGCATGATGTGTATGAGTGGACAGATGTGTGATACCTAATTGAAGGAAAACAAAAATGCTAGATCCGTCAATTGAAGGAGGATGAAGCTATAGAAAGAAAGTGAAAGGTGTAGAGAGAAAAAGATGGGGGAGGTGGAGGAGACGAGGAAACAAGAAATCTTCGGCAGCGGGTGGTGTGACTTTGTTGGCGGTGGGTGACGTGACTTCATCCATGGCGGGCGACGCAGGAGTCTTCTTCGCAGCTATTCCTTTCTCTCTCTCTTTCTCTCTTTAGTCACTTTGGAACCCACCAAACAAAAGTTTTTTTTTATTTTTTTTTTTACCAAAATAATCTCATCCTTTGATTTTATTAGTGAGACACGTGTCAAACCTACAAAGATCACTTTTAAGAATCACTTCACTAAATTACTCTAGAAGATCTGAATGCACAATACGTATCCCAAGTCCAAATATAATATTAGGTTGTCAAAAGCGTGTTAAAAGACTATGTTGAATGTGATTGACTGAGTGAAACCATATATTTATGTTGGTTATCGAGAAACCACATAATACGTATCCCAAGTCCAAATATAATATTAGGTTGCCAAAAGCGTGTTAAAAGACTATGTTGAATGTGATTGACTGAGTGAAACCACATATTTATGTTGGTTATCGAGAAACAACATTACGAGCATAATTATTCGTGTTTAGTGGAATTGTTTCTTTAGTTTCCTTCTATTTTTTGTCGTAAATATTTAAGATCTAAATGTAGTTTAAGAATTATTTATTTTTATTCTTTAAATAATGAATCATGCTAATGATGGAAGATTCTAAATTTACTCAATTCATTTTCGTACTCACTACATGCGATGTGAATTTAGACAGAAGCCTTATACATGTGGGTATGTAGAAAAATTAGATTGGTGTATTTAATAGTAGTTTCTTTCTGCTATTGATGGCTTAATTTGCTATAAAATGTTAACAAATTAAAATTTTAAGTTGTCTTTTACACATTTTTGGCATACCAATACGTACATTTATTTGGATCATATAATTTCTCTATTTTTACACATATTTTTATAAAAAATAAAAAAATATATTTATTTAGACAATGTCAAATAATTATTAATAAAATTGATAATAAATCTATATTCCTACTTTTATAAGTCATTGAGGATAGGGTTGGTTCTACTAGGACAAAAGTACATTTGTTAGTCAAGAGTGCATTACTATCTATCTGTTGAAATTTTTATTTTAACTTATTTGTTCATATCTTTTTTTATCTGTTCAATTTTATGAACCTATCTGTTCAAGTTTAAATCTATTTGTCAATTTTTTTTTAATATTTTTAATCTATCTATTGAAATTCACCAAGCCTACTTTTTCTATCTGTTGAAATTCACTAATCAACCTATTTGTTGAAATTCACCAAGTTTATTTCCCTTATTTGTTGAAATTTACCAAACCTATTTTTTCTGTTTGTTGAAATTTACTAAACAAGCTATTTGTTGAAATTCATCAAGCCTATTTTATCTGTTACAAATTTTTATTTATACAAATTGATTTCATAAACCCACTCTATCTGTCTCTCTCACTTTCTCTCTCTCTCTCTCTCTCTCTATCTGTTGGTTTTAGAAGGAAAACTCACTAAGAAAATCAAGGGTATGTAGAAAATGAGTTCGGCAGTGTTCGATCCGACTTACCTTGGTTTGTTGGCTCTGTTTGCAGGTGTGGAAGAGACGGAGATCAAAGAGAAGAAGAGGAGCTAGATCTTGTCGCTCAGTATCAAATTGACATCGTCGTCGGAGATCGATACATAAGCCAAGTGCATCGAGTTAGAGACTCTCAAGAAGAAACCTTTGCTACGCCATAGATCATCCCTGCCGACGAGAAAAGACACGATACCAGTGACTTGTAACAGTGCAGATCAGTGCTCTTCGGTGACATGAAAAAGAGAAGAAGGAGGCCGGCGATGATGTAGCGGCGTGGTGGTGGTTGATCTAGATCTAAGGTTAGGGTTTTGGGAGAAAGGAAGAGGAAAAGAAGAGAGTGAGAGAAAGAGAGTGAACACCGCTGCGATGTGAACGTTCACGTAGGCGCCAGTGTTGGGTGACGCTTCAATGGTGTTGTCGAAGCCATGGAGATGTCTTCTTTACGTCTGTTCTCCTTTGTAGAGAGAGAGAGAGAGAGGAGGGAGGGAGATTAATGGGTTTGGTTGTTGAGAGATTGATGTGTTTTGTTTGTACAGATAGGGAATGGTGTTCTTGTGGATTTGAAAGTGCTCTTCGGTGACATGAAAAAGAGAAGAAGGAGGCCGGCGATGATGTAGCGGCGTGGTGGTGGTTGATCTAGATCTAAGGTTAGGGTTTCGGGAGAAAGGAAGAGGAAAAGAAGAGAGTGAACACCGCTGCGATGTGAACGTTCATGTAGGCGCCAGTGTTGGGTGACGCTTCAATGGTGTCGTCGAAGCCACGGAGATGTCTTCTTTACGTCTGTTCTCCTTTGTAGAGAGAGAGAGAGAGAGAGAGAGAGAGAGAGAGGGGAGGGGGGGAGATGAATGGGTTTGGTTGTTGAGAGATTGATGTGTTTGTTTGTACAGATAGGAATGGTGTTCTTGTGGACTTGAAAGTGTCTTATGGACTTAATAGTTTAATATGTGGGTTTTTTAGCAAAAAAAACTTAAATTTAGATTTGTGGGCCGAGTACCTTTAATATTTTGTTCACAATTTTGCTTTTGCATTTTTCTCTGCATTTGCTGTGATTTATACTGCAATAGTAAATGCCAATTAAAAATATGATTCAACGATCTAAATTTAAAATTAAAAAATAATAATAATCGTTAGATTAATGCCCAATTTTGAATTTTTTGGGGGGTGACATAGGACAATATCATCAACTTTCAAACCATATGTATTAATATATATTGGATATGTATAGATTTTTCCAAAATGGGTAGTAGAACCATCGGTGCCAACATAGTTTCGCCTCTGTATGTAATAATAATGCAGTGAAAAAAAAATGATCCAAACAGGTCCCTAACAATTTCCCGATTCAGCTTCTCATGAGAGTGAAATCAAAGTGTCTTTCTTTGGACTGTCAGACGGGGGACCTTCTAAACGAATGTAGTCGTACATGATATTCTGCCAAGGGCTCTGACTCCTCGGTTGTGTCAAGTAAACGGTATTATCCCCTTTCACCAATAGACCGCTCGCAACATCCACATTGTACAACCAGTAAAGCCCATGGATGCCATGTCGAGCAATTGCATTGTCCCTTCCAAATAGTCCGCTTGAGAAGAGTGGACGGTTGTTTGTGTTTGGATCGTTAACACGAACCTACATAATTAAATTAGTTAGTGCCATGTGAATTTACATTAAAAAATAAAAAGAAAAAAAAAAGTTGAACAAATTTGATTATGAATTACAAAAGTTGTGTACCTGTAATTCAGCAAGAGTTGCAGATGCTACTGCCACTCGCAGTTTGTAGGATCCACTCTGATCCACGTTGTCGAGATTGAACTTGATCTGCCAAGTAGTTCCTTGGTATGTGTTGTCACTTTTTCTCCTACAATGCGAAAATAATTGTTAGCTGAGAAAATCTGAATCATGCTTAGTTAGTTTGTTGGTAATTAGACTGAACATCAGCTAGAAGCAAGAAACTTGCTATTTTTGTTTCCAATATTTTCACTTTCATGTTTTTTGAAACAAATGATGAGAAGTTAACAGTTTCCAAAAATTCCAAAAACTACTTGTAAGTGTTACCTGAAATAAGTGTTTAAACAATCTTGAAAAGAGTTTAGCAAATAAATTTTTCATAGTCAATTTTCCTTTTTTCTAATTTATTTGAGAACAAAAAACAGAAAACAAAACAATAGCAAACATGCCCCTTAATCAGTGTTAATAGATATGTCGTCGAAGCAATATAAAGTTGTATCATAAATGTTCTTGTATAAACAAGATCAAAGAGACACACAACGACAATCAAGAATTGTAAATTTGTAATATAGCATTTTTTTTTATCAATGTGTTCTTGAAAACTTCACAAACATTTTCAACTACCGTATTTTTAAAAATCCTCATAAAATTTTGTGAGCGTACCAGAACATATAAGATTGTTTCCAACTTGTGGAGAAATTATAAAGGGAAAATAACAGAGAATTTTATGGAATGAACCCCCCCCAAAAAAGAATCAGAACTTCACCTGGTGACCTGAGAAAAAAACCAGTCTTTTTTATAATCACTGATGCCAACTGTATAGACTAAGTCTCCATCAGGGTATAGCTCTGCATATCTCTCCCACAATCCATACTGCCTAAATCTGAATACAATAAATAAATAAATAAATGAATGAATATTTTGGGTTGGTTGTCAAATTTTAATTTTTCCGTTTTCGCAAAAGACTGAAAATTTTAGCGACAGCTTGAATGCAGACGGACTTACATGCAATGGCGTTTACTGTCTTTAATGACAGCATAAAACCAGTCAGCTTATTTAAAACTCATTAGTTTCCAATCTAAACTTGAACAACTTATTGCTTGACTCGACTTGTTTACGAGTGTAAATTCTTTGAAACTGACCTGTTAGGAGGATCAACAAAAAGTCTGCTGATGTACTCAGGATCAGGATCAGGAATGTAAAATTCTGCAGCAGAACGATCAGGAATGCCTATTTCCCACAGTGTTGGCCCAGCTCTTGGAGGCTCATATACAAGATCACCGAGCGATCACTCTGTGAAATATTTCTCACAACGTGGGTCCATCTCTAGGAGGCTCATATACAAGATCTCCAATGTCAATGTCACAGCCTGTTTTTCCATGGGCATCAAAATGCTATAGAAAATGCGGTACTTAAAAAGGAATTCATGAAAAAAAAGAAAGAGAGAAAATGAAACCTGTGGTTATGGTAACAAGAACATCGTTTCGATAATCACCAATGAATCCAGGGACAAATGCATAAAGATTATAGTCACCGGTACGTACATCGTTGATGGAAAAATAGCCATTCTCATCTGCTCTGGTCCAGAATTGGTAGTCCTGATTCAAATAAAGAGATTACTACCGTGTAATATGTCTTTTAAAGTGGTAAAAAGTGCAAAAAAATTAAAAAATTTCAGGCTTTTGTTTAGCATGAGAATGATATACCTTGCACTCTCTCTGCCATGATCCAACATCTCCAGGAGGTGCCAACCCCACATACGCACCGTTTGCCGATATATAGTCATTGCTCATATACCTGAACAGGTTAACAGAAAAAAAAAAAAAAGAAGAAGAAGAAGATAGAAAAGAAAATCAAATTTCTCCATATTAATGAGATTTAAATTTTTTTTTTTTAAATATCAATAATTTAAAATTTTGATATAGAATCCAAAGGATGCCAGCAAGAACAATTTCAATTTTTTTTTACCTATCTCGTACTAGTAATCTCCCACTAATACTACCACGCTGATCCGATGATGGAAAATCCTCTGATGCCGGAAAACTATAGGGCCAGCTTTGGACTTCGACCAACATCTAAAAATCAATATTTATCAACATTGTGTCCGCGTTTGTTATGCTTGGATGCCCAACTGGAGAGAATCCATTTTCATAATTAAAAAATATATATACTAAGTTAAACCTGATTTTTGGCATCCTCCCAAAGGGTAAAAGGGTCATCTCCATCCATCGCAGAATTGAGATAAATGAAAACAGGTCCAAACACTTTCTTCCACGCCTCACCCTGCCCGAATTTTGGCGTAAGATCATCCCCAGCATAGTGAGAACTGAAAAACATCTGTTAATCAAATCAAATTTAGTTGACAGTTCATCGTGACAGCCATTAATACTAAAATGTTGCACAACTCATGCTAGTGCAAGTAAACACGTAGCATTCTCTCTCTGAGTCGCCTGTCCCAAATCCCCTTCTACGAGTTTGGACAGGGAATCTTATGCAAGTTAGGATAAAGTTCACAGTTATGAGGGACAAGGTACTTACAGCAAGACAAGTGGGACCAACATGAGAGGAAAGGTTTTGTTTGATGGGCCCACCGGACCGGAATTCATCGCTGGGTGTAATCTGCCAGAATCCAACGGCAGGAGGGTCTGTAGATATCCACCCGTGGACCCGGAGATCTTTGTTCTCGCAAGAGTACTGGTACTTGTCATCCACCTGCCCAAAATAGAATTTAATAAAAAAACACCATAAATCTGATGCAACAGAAAATGAACATTTCAATTTCAATGCATATTTTCATATACGAGAATGAGCTAGCTTTTACTACATTTTGAGCGAACATATGAGGAAATGAATAATTTTAGGGTAACAGAAACCGATGACAAAATCAAACACGTAATAGAGGTAGATGGTCAAGATTTTTCACATCCCACTAATAAATTCTGTGAAGTTTTTGATGGGAAATTAAGGAAGTTAATTACCTGTCCTTTCAACTCAGGCTCTACAGGATTGATAAGTAAGACTGCTTCAGGGTACGCCAGGGCCCTTCCTCTTCCCGGCATCCGATCATCTGGCAAAGGCATGAATCTTTGCCTATCATCTGACACAGCCATGTAGTGAAACCTACACACAAATTCAAAACCATATTATTATTTCTTGTTAAACCTTAATAAAACATGGGTTATTTTGTGCTAATTAATTACATCTTTCAAATATATGCTGTAATTAAAAGTTGTCTCAAGATTTTGTGAACCTCTAGTGAACGAGTCAATAACGATAACATTTTAACTCCAAAAATGTAAATTAGTTTAGTATACTGTCATCATACATTAATTTTAAACTACTGAAAATGGGTTTTGTAATTAAGTTTGCAAAAATATGTTCCATCTATCATTAGCTCTAAATAATAAGAGACTGAGGAGGGAGTTTGTTTTACTTGTCTTTTCTAAGCTTGAATGCAATCCTGGTCTCGCCAAGGCTGAAAGCCGGCCATTCTGGCAAACCAACGTGTTCATAAATGGCATACGAGTAGAAGCCTGAGCAACCGCGAAGCAGTATAAACCTAGAAAAATCAATCATGATCATGATCATCAATATCAATAATAATAGTAAAGAGTAACAATAATAAGCTAAATTTCATGCAAATAATACAACATGATTTGAACAAGAACCTTTTGTCAATATTAAGGGGAACGAGCTTGCCCTGGAGGGAGGGGTCCCAAGGTCTTGAGAATGAGACCTCTACTTGTTCCTCCGTTTCCACTATTACTTCAAATTTTGTTCCTTTAATCCTGCAAAAATGATCATTTATTGGTTTTGATGCTTGCTTAAAGTCACATTGTACTAAATTAGATTGAGGGGAAGAGAAAGAGAGGACATACACTTCAAAAATGCCGCTTTTTCCTGAACCATCCAATGCATTCCAAACAACGTCCCAATAACTATATATTCAATATGAAAACACAGTCACATTTTATGGGTAATAATATCACCTAATTGCAATTTAAGTCACGGCCTGTTTGTTATGGTTTTCATCTTTCATGCATTTTTTTTAAACCTTATTTATAGCGTTTTCAGATATGAAAACAATAAAAACGTTAAAAACACAACTCGATTTCGTATCGTTTTCATTTTTTTTTTTGCGAAACAATTTTCAAAAATTAAAAAACTATATATTCAATATGAAAACACAGTCACATTTTATGGGTAATAATATCACCTAATTGCAATTTAAGTCACGGCCTGTTTGTTATGGTTTTCATCTTTCATGCATTTTTTTTAAACCTTATTTATAGCGTTTTCAGATATGAAAACAATAAAAACACAACTCGTTTTCGTATCGTTTTCATTTTTTTTTTTGCGAAACAATTTTCAAAAATTAAAAAAAACAACTTAAGAAAAATGGGATGTTTTATTATTAGAAGAAAAAAAAAATTATTCTGAAAACAATTTTCAAAAGCCATTCGCACTCAGTTCCCCCTTTTTTTTTTTTTTTTCTATTTTTGAGAACTGAAACAGAAAACCAAAATGACACCAAAAACAAAACACTAATTTTTTTAATCTATGTCCACGAATCATAATAAGACAGTGCATTCAAAAAAATTATATGCTGCAATATAGATTTCTTATCCGTGATCATAGCAAACTAATGTGCCATTTTAATCAGTCAATTACCAAACACTGCTGTAACGGTGGACAAATTTAGAAGCTAAAAGGGTCAGAAATTAAGAAGTTGTATTACCCTCTATTAGTTTCATCATTGATTATCTCAAGCAAATTGTCAATGCCATTGCACCGAATTCCAGTCACAATTCCACCTGGATTTGATAATGTTACTTGTACTATGCCGTTATCGATCACCACCTGAAAACAGACACAATTTCCCATTTAATAATCTAAATATATAAGTACTATGTATACATACACATAATAATATGAAATATATCTTTTTTGAGTTTGATGTAATGCTTCATAACCTCAAAACACTTCTCATTTGAAATATGCATGATTGTACACAATCTATGATATTAATGGATATAATTTTCAACTTTTTTCAAAATGTGAATGACTTCTCTCTCATTGATTGGAGAGTCAGTTCAAAATATACGAGGGGGTATAGACTCACACCTCTTTCACATATTTTGGATGAGTGGCAATGGGCTCACACCCTTCTCACATACTTTGAATTGAACCTTCTATTAAACTGGACAGAATTCAACCCATTCAGAATAAAGCAATATGATTATTCAGATGCTTGATCTAGAAGTCTATAAATTAGTTAAAATGAAATGCACATGCTAACAATAGACTCTTGGGCATTGTTCAGTATCAAGATCGGCTGAAAAGTCCCTTGAAATTATGTGAAAATGTTACAAAAAGGTTTTGATTTAAATAAAAATGTATTGAACTCAATAATAATAAAAAAATTTGTCCCCCTTTTTTTGTTTTTTTGTTTTCCTAAGATAGTGTTTGGAGTGGAATGAAATGATTATTTCATCAAAATATATATACTCATGTTTGGTTAATTTAAATAATTAAATAAAAAAATATTATAAATGGAATTATCATTCACAATTGTAAATGAAATTCTATAAGGGAGTTTGAAAATGATCATTTTATTTTATTCCATCTCATTTTAATGATCCAAATATAACATAAAAATACTTGTTAGCAAGACCTAAAATGAAAGTTGATGTCAATTTCACTCAAACTTTTAGTTAATAGTTTAAAAATAATTTTTATACACCAATTGGTATATCAATTAGTGTACTAATGGATAATGTAACATAATTTTAAAAGTTTTGAGTTTTTGTAACTTATGTAATAGGTGAGATCAGAATTTTAAAATAATAATATCGTAACTATATTGATATACTAATTAATATATCAAATCGATACGTATAGCATCACCAATATTTTAAAGCAATTGAAGTTAACACACACACAAGAAAGAAAAAAACTGTTAAGCAATTTTAAATTACATGGCGATCTTGAATCTGCAGCTGCACACCCCGAGGTGACATTGATCCGAGACGTCCCCTCCTATGTCGAGTGGTTCCTGGAGAAGACAAGTGTCATTCTTAGAACTTAGCAAACCACTTATAATTTCTAAACATGCATAGATTAATAAATTTAAAATAATTATAACAATGTATTTTTATATGAAATATATATCTATTTGTATTTCTAATAATTAACCCACTACTTGTTAAACTATGATTTATGTGTGAATGTAAATTTATAGCCATAAGTATAAAATAAAATAAAATTAAAAAAAAAAAAAAACTCAAAAAATCTAACAGATGGTCGTAAACATACAACAAATTGACACAAAATTATTTCTTTTCATTTTCTCTCTCTTTATCCCGACGATGCCAACTCTCAACTTAAAAATTAATTATTTTGACATATCATGTAATGGAATAAGAATTTGGAACAACGCACGGAGAAAATAACATTGAGGATTTCACTTTGAACAAAACTAACAAACACGAGAAAATTTTCAAACAAATATAATTGCGAAATATCAACTCATAGGTACAAAAAAGAATGATCTACACGTATGTAGGGAGAGTCAAACCCGACTTCCTAATAAGATGCAATTACTAAATCGGTTGACCCGGTTAGTTAAGATCTGAAATGATTTTGATACGTACCTCTTGTGAAATCATGAAGAAGTACAAAATGTGTGAAGGGCTATATATAGTGCTTGCTAAGGTGGGCTTTCCTTTGAACTAGAGATAAAGCATTCTCTTTTTTTGACTTTTGATTTATGTTTTGTAATGCAATCCCTTTACTTATTCGTCACCATTGTTTGGTGGACATGAAATATAACTTGTCTGAGTCGCTATCTAATACAATAATAATAATAAAAAAAAAAAAAACCCAAAAAACATTACTCAGTGAAATCATCAGTAATCAGTGAGATTTACGTAATTTTTTGTTTACATTATTTGCTTTTGAATAAAAGTTTAACTAGCTGACTTCATAAATAATGCTGCTTAATGGAACCTCTTATATTGCTTAGACTTGGAAAGATTGTTAAGTAATTTCTAATTTATTATTATTTTTTTTTAGAATCCAGAATGATTTTGCCGACAAAAATAATAAAAAAGAAAAAGCAAAATATGAAATTATGAACCCTTCGCTCTTAAGGCGTTAATGCGAAGGAATTTTGGGGCGGAGGTGTAATTGACGGACGCATGCACTCCTCAAATTTTAGAAAAGTGATGGCTTTGAAAATGATTTTAGGGTAAATTACAATTGCACCCCTAAGGTTTTGAATTGTTCCTTTGCCAGTTTTTTTTTTTTTTTATTTAAAAAAAAATTAACAAGAAAAATAAAATTACTAACTAATCTCTTATACAATAATAAAATTATCAGAATTATTAATAAAATATATTTTTAATATCATTAAAAATTATTAATTGACTTAATGATTTATTATTTATTAATAAAATGAGTTATTTATTATGTGATTAAAAATTTGAAAGGGTAAAATGAATCAATTTATATTTTGAGCAAATTTTAAAAGGTGTATTTGTTGTTTATTCATATTTTCAATATTTTCTCAGTAAAATTAGATATGCCTTTAAATATTTTATTTTTTCCTCATTCAATAAATTTGGATATGACGTCATCCGGGTTCGTACATGGGACTCATCATATGTCTATTTCGATAATTCAAATTGTTCATTTCATAGCCTTTTGTATATATCATTACTTAAAAAGAAAGATAATTTATTTTAAAAAACACATTTATTGATTTTTTTATATACAAATTTAATAAATTGACCACGTAGAAAAAAATTATAACTCATTTGGAGATTATATGGATCCAACATATGACCTACGTGGAACTCACATCACATGTATTCATTCCATCCATATCGTTCACAAGAAAATGTGCAATTGAATATTAATTGAAATTGTGCAATTAAAATGTTTTACACGTATAATGTTTTCTTAAGTTATGTCTAATTAAACATAAAAAAATATATATATTATAAAAATATTTTTGAGGAGTTTAAACAAATCTATTTGGTAATTTTTATTTGCAAACGAAGCATAAAGTAAATGGCTTAAGGATTGGAATGATATCATCTAGGGTACTCAGTAGATATTTTGATTCGTCTAAATCGATCGAATTGGTCTAATCTGTAGTATTTTGAACGGGTGCATGCTGACGAGCAGACGATTGCGGATTGATTTTTTCCAATCTGCCTAGTTTTGGACGGATGCCGAAACCACCAAACTGAGAGCACCCCTACTAATTTGTAAGATTTTGTATTTTCAATTTATTTAGATATTCTGTTTGTGTTTTCAATTGAAAAAAATTTAGATATTCTGTTGTGTTTTCAATTTTGAAATTTTTTTATCAAATGACAAGTGTTAATATTTGATATTTTTGTTTAGAAAATATAAGGCTTAATTTTGTCATTTAAAAAAAAAATCAAATTAAATAATTTTTGAATAAAAAAAAATAATGAAATAGTTTTGATAATGCATGGTTTTCTTATATGAATTTATTATTGGTATTTGACAATTTACTTAATAATCTTTTGGTTATGTTGAGTTAGATTATTATCCAAAAAAAAAAAATGTTGACAAGTTATTATATTATGTTCAAAATTTGTAAAAATTTAAACTGCCAAACTGATTCATATCTATCTGTCAATCCGCCAATCCGCTGAATCAACATCTGTCAATTCAGCAGACGGATGCAGATTGAATTTTTTCGATCTACCCATCCGGCGGACAGATGACGGATTAGAGGTTCCCCGGCCGCAACCGAACCGCGAACACCCCTAGTATTTAGTGATTTTATGTTATATTTTTATCATAAATATTCTACTTTTTAAGTGTATCTAAATTTGGTATATCTAAAAATTTAAAATTTTGATTAAATATTTTAAAAATCATTGACGACAAAAAATGTACAAAAAATAATTTTCAAAAACTAAATCAAACAAATTGGTATCATTGTTTTAAAATTACAATTAATGAATGTCATTAAGACGACTAATTAGGTGATGTTCGATAAAATTGAAAATTTAAAACTGAAGACTGAAATTAAATATTTAAAACTGAATACTGAATATTTTAAGTTAAAAGATTGTTTGATAAAAATTTAAGTACTGAATTAAAAATAAATTATTTGATATGTAGAATTTATTATTTTCAAATTGTATATATGTCACTTTTTATATTGTAACAGTAATGTTGATGGTGGTAACGGTGGTGGTTGTGGCGATGGTGGTGGTTGTAAAATGATAGCAGTGTTTATGACAATAATAATAATGGTGATAAAAGTGGCAGTGGTGGCGGCGGTGGTAGGATGGTGCTGGTAGCAGTAGTGATGATTGTGGTGGTAGCAGTAGCGGTAGTGGTGGTGGTGGCAATGGCAATAGTAGTGGCAGTGGCAGTGGCAGTGGCATGATGGTGATGGTGGTAGCAGCAGCGATGGTAATGGTGGTAGTGGCATGATGGTTGTGGTTGTAGTGGTGGTGATAGTATAGTAGTGAATTTATAATAGTACATATCAATACTTATGTTTATTATTTATAAATTCAGTTAGAATTAAGTAAGTTTTATATGATTTAAAATTTTCTTAAATTTTAACATATATTTTAAGAGGCATTTAAATTTTTAAGTGATATCAATTGTCGTTATTAAACGAGTTTAATTGATTATCATGTAATGCATTCAATTTTAAATACTGAATTAGGTTATCAAACAATTCCTTGGACTATAGTTTAATTGGCTATGGCAGTAGCAGTGGCATGATGGTAGTGGTGGTAGCAGCAGCGATGGTAATGGTGGTAGTGGCATGATGGTTGTGGTTGTAGTGGTGGTGATAGTATAGTAGTGAATTTATAATAGTACATATCAATACTTATGTTTATTATTTATAAATTCAGTTAGAATTAAGTAAGTTTTATATGATTTAAAATTTTCTTAAATTTTAACATATATTTTAAGAGGCATTTAAATTTTTAAGTGATATCAATTGTCGTTATTAAACGAGTTTAATTGATTATCATGTAATGCATTCAATTTTAAATACTGAATTAGGTTATCAAACAATTCCTTGGACTATAGTTTAATTGGCTATGGCAGTAGCAGTGGCATGATGGTAGTGGTGGTAGCAGCAGCGATGGTAATGGTGGTAGTGGCATGATGGTTGTGGTTGTAGTGGTGGTGATAGTATAGTAGTGAATTTATAATAGTACATATCAATACTTATGTTTATTATTTATAAATTCAGTTAGAATTAAGTAAGTTTTATATGATTTAAAATTTTCTTAAATTTTAACATATATTTTAAGAGGCATTTAAATTTTTAAGTGATATCAATTGTCGTTATTAAACGAGTTTAATTGATTATCATGTAATGCATTCAATTTTAAATACTGAATTAGGTTATCAAACAATTCCTTGGACTATAGTTTAATTGGCTATGGCAGTAGCAGTGGCATGATGGTAGTGGTGGTAGCAGCAGCGATGGTAATGGTGGTAGTGGCATGATGGTTGTGGTTGTAGTGGTGGTGATAGTATAGTAGTGAATTTATAATAGTACATATCAATACTTATGTTTATTATTTATAAATTCAGTTAGAATTAAGTAAGTTTTATATGATTTAAAATTTTCTTAAATTTTAACATATATTTTAAGAGGCATTTAAATTTTTAAGTGATATCAATTGTCGTTATTAAACGATTTTAATTGATTATCGCTTAATGCATTCAATTTTAAATGCTGAATTAGGTTATCAAACAATTCCTTGGACTATAGTTTAATTTGCTATCCTCATACATTTTAATTTAGAAGGTCAAGAGATTAATTTTCGTTAAGTATAATATTGATAATTTTTCATTTTATAAGACTCTTTGTTGTATTATTCTTTTTTTTCCCCCTCATCACTATGGGCTCTTTCCTAAGTCGATTAGTTTTTGAGCTAGTGTCATATCTTTGTTGGGTTGGTTGTTTAACTTTTTAAAATTGTGTAGATTATGATTATTCATATATAATTATTTTTATATTGCAACTAATTTCTT